AATTTTCAGCGGTTGGTAATTTTTAGATCTGTTTCACAATTGATTTATATCTATCTCATCTGTCCAAATGTTTTCAAGCTTTATGCAGCAGCTAGATTTACGTTCGGTAATGGAAAACAGATTGGATGAGACTGCAAAGCTAGAAATCAGGGTAAGAAGATACCCTTTGGGGAATGTGACCAACTAAGTAAAATAATAGCCAGTCAAAAAGAGTGGTAGTTTCTTGCATATAACGTATCTGCATGTAGCAGTTTTCTGCAAATTTAAATGACAATCGAATAATGTCAACTGTTAACGCCCACCCATTCGATTAACACTGAAAGCAGTCAATGTCAAGATGACTGAAGATGGAGGTAATGAATGACACATCATGAAGCTTACTCAAACTTCTACCAGGCCAGAGATAATACAGGCGCCGAATGACGTCAGTACTCAATTAAAAGAGTAGAATTGGCAGTGCCATTTGGAAAAGGAAGGATGCCAATTCTCAATTTCGGCAGGGAATTTAGTTGAGAGTGGGCTGCTAATATCACCTTTAATCGTTCTTTTTCTTCAATTGGCTCCTCGCTTCAACTTGTATTGAAGAGCGTCCGATCTCTTTATGTCCCCAGTATAATTTAATAATCCTAGTTGATATTAATTAGCCCTGTAAAAGGTCACCAACAGAAACATTAAACGATCTGAAATTCCAAATAGCACATACTGGGGTAAGAAAATTAGCAGAATGCAATTGAATTGCCGCAACTATGAAGCTTCAGAAGGTTGGTAACTATTCTTATGTTCAGTGAACTCTTATGTGAACTTCAAGCTTCAGTAAGGTTGGTAACTATTTTTATGTTCAGTGAACTCTTATGTAAACTTCATTAGGCCAGGCGTGTTCAGATCTATGCCGCCTAAGGGGCTCAGAATTTACTGATTCAATAGACTACATAATTAAACTTTCAATCGCTCTATCACATGACTTTTCCTAAATACTTCTTGACATTTTTTCAAAAGTTTTTAAAATTGAAAATGATAACAGCAAGTAAACCAAGTGCTTTTTTCAAAAATTTGTCAAATCACATTACAATCGCGACTTCCTCGATGAAGTCTTCCACCATATTTGGGAAATTGCTATATTTAAAGCTACATTTTGTCCGTAAGTACAATTGATTGGAGGAGATAATAATTCTTTGAAGGAAGCTTTGAGGAATGCAGAGGCTATGACCGCTTCTGGCCTCATTCAAACTCGGATAACTTACGCTTTGTGAAGTATATCGAATTAGTGAACTATTCTTATAGAAATCACATACAGTACACAACTTCTTCTCCAAAGACAGTACAGAGCTCTTTCGCAAATTCACCTTTCACCATTCTTTCGCCGTCCAAACTGAATAGTAGCGGGTTTGAGAATGCAGTTTCGTTCCAAACTTACATTTCATTTTCTATCAGAAAAGAATAACAGTCCCGCAAGAATGACGAGCTTTGTGCTTTATAGAGTAGGGAAGAGAGTGCCACCTCCACAGGTGTACACAGATAAAACATGGAGCACTCACCACTGTAAGTAGCTAACTTCATGCCCTTTCTCAAACTTTCTGCAGAACTATGTCGTTTTATAGAAAATTTGAGGAAGAAAATGAGCAGTTTCTTACTTTTGTGGGAGTGCTCTATGTTTTATCCGTTCGCAATTGTGAAGGGCAATTTGCTAAG